TGGCTGTGTGAGTGAAAATAAAACAAAAACAAGCTTTGTCTATGTGTCCAACAGAGAAAACAAGGCAGTATTGTCGCATGTAGTCAACTTGATCAAGTAAATAACAAAATTTCACTTACAAGATTTATTAGTCCCGCCTATACAGTTTATTTTCCAGAAATTCCCAATCACAAAGTGATATTTATTGGTAGCTAAGCGAAAAGTACTACAGTAAATTCATAAATTGTTTTCTAAGTCAGTCCATTACGTTTTGATCTTTTTTTAGTGAATGGAATCTGATCACACGGGCGACACAACGAATATTCACGATTAACTTAATTTAAACTTCCTACTAGCATATTGTTGCAAATTAGCCCACTAAATCAAACATCTCACATGAGGACTTGAAATGGACAGTGAATAGTGCAACAACAGAAAATGTACTTCTCACTGTTGCTTGAAATCAAATAATGACAATAATGTCTAAAGTGAGAGATCTGCACTATTCAATATTTTTCATCGATCAGAAACAAACGATAAAAGAGAGGGAATGAAAATAAAATATTTGCTTAGAATTTCGTTAAAAAAATATGTCTGCTTGTATCCATGCTCTGGTTCTTTTCTTTTCAATTTGAATTGTCCTACAAGTTTGATATGAAGGTTCTTGAACAGAAGAATTGTGATCATCAGGTCTCAATATATGAAGACGGATAATTTTTCACCAAACAAAGCACATAGGAGTTCAGTTCGAATCTTAGAAACTACAATAATATTCACCGATCCAATTTCCTTTGTAAAACTACGTGATGATGTATTGTTATTTATAAAATAACAAAAAATATTCCTCACCATTTACATGTTGAAAAATGATACCTGAATGATTATTTCAATTGTTCTCGCTTTGTTCTCATTGAAACTCGTACATTGTTGAAAAAAAAATCGATTTTGTTTCGCAGGTACTATTTTCTTTGAAATAATATTTAGACGAATTTCGAACTCAAACTGATGCACTTCTATTCAGCTTCAGTGTCCGAAAAAGGTTGAACGTATCTCTGAAATGGTGCTTCTAAGAGTAGCGTACACGTCATTCTAAAATGGTATATCTGATTGAAGTTGTTTTGACTAAACGAGAAGATATCATGGTTCATGATGAAGATGACATAACGAAAATCGGCATTGGAGTAGATTTTTCACTTCGAACCCAAAGTTCTATTTATATTATGCTTAGAGAAACAAAAAATAGGTACAGTTTAAAAGATAAAAGTTATTCGTCGATACCAAATGGTTTCCTTTTGTCAAAAGGCAGGGAATCAGAAAAAAATCGACGAAATATCTAAATTGATCAGAGGAGCTATCTCCGTCATGCTCTATAACAACTGATTATCTGTCACATTGTTTATCATAGCGTACTGGTCAGTAATATTATGGCAAGTTATGTTTAAAAAAATTAACAAACTCATAAACAAATTCATCTTATATTCTGAATCTGCACATCACTTACTATTCGCTATTCAACATGTGTCTTATTTTAAGCTTCAGACTTAATAAAAGAAAATTAATTTTTTTCTGTGGTAATTTTTTTCACAACTATGTTTAATAAAATGAGTCCCCCATTCAACACTGTAAACTGAAACTCAATCAAACTTTGACAGAATGTTCTTCTAGCTTTCTTCTATCATCTGCATTAGCGCAGATTAGTGGAAATGCTTTTGAATCGCACGGTAGCTTTTTCAAAATAATAGAGGGAGGATGGTTAAATCTGCTGAATTGATCAGAACTATTCTGACTCTTGACGTTTTTTCTGATGACTTCTCAACATTCTAATTTGTCTAATTTTAATATTTTATGACAATTCATTTGTTGCAGTTGAAAAGCAAACAAGCAGTAAATCATGAGATGATCTCTGTGACCAAGCGACGTTTAACTCTGTTAACTCATGATAAAATAAAACTATACGAGAAGTCTCTCCAAGATTTTTCAGAGAAATATTTCAGTGCAAATTCAGCTTTCTTGTTATCTTATGCCGTTTATTTTAACTTAATATCAAGACATCGAACTCCCTATAGGGACAGTAAGTCGACTAGAAAACGCCCGGAAAGCTGAACATTCTCGAGGATATACTAGAAATAACGTTCACCAGCGATTAACTTAATTCCTTTATTAGTGAACATTGTACATGCATCAAAAGTGATTCTCACATATAAGAACGATATCTCCTGGTTTTATCTTTCGAATGATTTTGGATTTTTTTTCTTCTTCACTTACTCAAATAAAATCGACGACATCTTTCTAATTCTACACTTAAACATTCCTTAAGACCCGTCTTTCAAACATTCTCACACAGCAACATTGACAGGTGCTCTATCCTAACTATACATTAACAGAAATACTTTTATTTTGAACTGATAATAGTAAAAAATTGAAAGTTCCACATTATGACTCAGTTACGGGTTACACTTTTTCTCTTGTCGCTGTTTTCATTGCCTTTCTTCCAATCTCAGTAGTGGATATTAGATTCTGCGCTCCTAATCGATTGTTTATTTGAATTACAGATAGAAAAAACAATAGCTGGCAAACAGAGGAACACAGAAACGTGTATAAGTTATGACAATGCATCGATGACAAGCGAACGAAAACAAAACTGTTAGGGATGACAAAGGATGGCTCCTAACATTGGATGACACTATTTTATTACCGTGTTGCTCGTTTAAACGCATTTCATGATTTCAAATAATTTTCTCTTTCTTCAAATTTGTCGATTCAAGTTAATCTTTGCACTATACATTCCAACCAACATCTAAATAGTAAATAAGACGCAACTGTTCTCATCTACATTCAATAACAATCATCATTCAACCGATATTCACTTCGATTATTGGATGAAACCAGATTACACACTACTTCATCATAATTTGGATCCATTTATTTATTCGATTGGAAGTTCTAGGTAAAATAATACATTTCGATAACTCTTATGAATTTCAATCGATTCGAGCTTTTATACTCGACGATTTCCGCCAATCGACGATATAGAGATTGCCGTGCCGATCGAATGACAAACCGATGGGTCCATTGAGTTTGTTCGACTGTTCTCCTTCACCGTTTCCACCAACAATGACACTTCCCTGTGTGGCTCCTTTGGGCCAACGCATGATTCGATCATTCCCTCCATCAGCCACATAGACAGTGCCCACTTGATCGACAACGACTCCATAAGGATATGACAATTGTGTAAGACCATTTCCTTCTCCTTGATCACCAGCCACGACAATGCCTTGTTTTGCACCTTCCATCCATTTCATCACACGATGATTTCCCCATTCAGACACGTACACTGAATGATCTCGATCGACGAATACGTATTGTGGGTAAGAGAGTTGATCGAGACGATTTCCACTTCCATTGCCACCTGCAACCACTGTTCCTTGAGATTCTCCTCTTCGATATCGTCTCACTTCATGTTTTCCAACGTCAGTGACATAGAGAGATCCATTCTCGTCCATTGTCAAACCCACACAATCGATGTTCGAGATGATCGTTTCTCCACTTGTCCCATTTCTACGAGGCCATCGAACCACTCTTCTATTCGAATTATCACAGATGATGAGACTATCTCTCTCTTTGTCGACAATCACATCGAATGGATTAGACAACTGATGAGCCCCCACTTCCTCGTCCATTTCCACCGGCAACCACTTGGCCACTCGTCGCACCCCATTTCCATTCCACAATACGAAATAGAGGCAAGAAAAATTATAAAATAAGAGATAATGAGAGAGTGCGAGAACAATTTTCTCTTCATAGAAATCGGATTTGTTACAAGTCGAGAAATCTTTGTTAGTCAAATTCTCAACTTTGTCAATCACGATTGTTTTATTTTAAACTATTTTCTTGAATTCAAAGTTTTTCATTGCCATTTTTTTGGTCAATCATTCATTATTTCTTTATTTCGCTCTTAAATTCAAATCCATAAGATTTGTACACAGACGACAATGACATAACATTGTTCATATTCTTCTACAGAAGAGATTCCGATGAAATAAAGAGCTGTACTTATGACTGATTTTCAACGAGAATAGCAAAGGAGAATTTTTGATCAGAAAAGAGTTGATTGAAATGCATAATTGGAGAATGGTTGAATCTCTGTCTTAATTCTTTGATGAGAATTTAAATGTCGTTAGACGAATGAATTGATTGTTGTCTTGTACCTTGAAAATTTGAATCCATTTTCTCATATATAGCATCATCAATTTTCTTGTTGAGAATCACTTTATTCAAATATTTTTTTTTGATAACAGAAAGAGAATGAATAGTTCAATAGGTCATACAATTTTGTTTGTATTTTCTTCTTCAGCTACTTTTATTTAGTTATCTTACTTTGAAAAGTATAGCTTTCCGAAAGCCTGATTTTTCATCTCAAAACTATACCATCGATGATTGAAATGTGATGATGGAAACAAATGAACATCTGAAATCGTCACTGAATTGTTTTTGTTCAATGAGAAGTCGATTACTGAAATTGGTCAATGTTTATCATACTACTTAATTATTCGGATGTCAAAATTTCAACGACAGAGAATTGTTGTAATCACTTTTCGATGAAAAATCAATTCTCAATGCATTCTTTGATTAATGAGAATCTCGGTGTTCTCCAATCACATGGACATATCTTTGACTGTTTTACTTTGTCGTTTGTGTTCTGCAAATATGATAGAACTCAACAGCTTACATTTATTATTCATAAGTATGAGCGATGAATTGGGCAAAATGAAAATGGTCTGCCACCTCCTCTTGTAAGAGGTTGATCAATCAACGACAAGCTTTTGAACAGAAAGTTCTACTCCATACATCAATTATGTAGTTGTCGTTATATCATAATGAAATTCACTTTAAAAAAATCATTAATGACAAAGCTCGCATTTTATCAATGAATTCATTTTTTTTCTGTGTAATTCATATTCATTCAATAATCGAGAAATAACTAAAATAGCTCTTTTTAAATTTACTCAATTTTGACTTGACATGCTGCAATGTTTTCTCAGCTCTTACGGTGACTTTCATAGACCAACTTTTTGTTTTTGTTTCGAAGCATCTCTTCATTATTTAAGGCAACAGAAGAACGATAAAAGTCAAACATTGAATGTTTGTTAATTTTTCAAAAGAAATATTTTCGTTCTCATTTTCAATGAAATGTTTGATGAAAATATCAAAATCAAAGTCAAGAATGTAATGTATTTCATGATTTCAGATTTAAAGTTATATAAAAGAAATATGTGTGAATTGGCAAAATGAAGAACAATGAAATCGATTCCATTATTTTGATGTCTTAAATAAAAAAATTGACACATCTAGATCAAGTTAGAATCAATTTCATTCAGGTGATTTTGTTATATCAAATGGATGATACAACTCATTAAAAGCAAGAATGATTACTGAATGCAAATCTAGTCATTTTTTTATATTTGACATCTATGATTTATAGTTCAGATGCTGTCATTTTTCTTCTTGAGAACACATCACAGGGTGAGTTAAGCCTTTGATAAAGGGATTGGTGCATCATTACTGTTAACAAATCATCTCTTCTCGATGAATCAAATCATATTGAATAATGTCTCTCAATTAAATATAAAATTCAACGTTCAAAATTATGTTTGACCGATATTTTCATCGAAGTATACGGAGTATGAATGACATTGAAACAATCCTTTATGCAGTAAGCTATACATGTATTTAAGAATAGGTATTCAAGAGAGAGCTATGCGGAATTTTTAGAGGATTTTGAGGTTCCCTATTGACTCCGCTGAGAACTGCACAAAAGACAAAAACATATTTATATCTATTATGGTGGTTTAGATTTATTTTACCGAGCGCTGAGTGAAAATATGAATACTGTCAATCAAGTTCAATCGCAGTAAGGATATTGAATTAGTTTGTCGAAAATATCTGACTATAGTTTGAAAAAGTAGAACACAAATTAAAACAGAATCAGAAACTAATTTTCAGAATAGCTTCAAGATAGTGTCTACTTTAATGAGTACTTTCCTTCATTTAATTTGCAGGATTCGTCAATATTTTTAAGAATACGTTTGTTATGTAATGCGTCGACAACGTAGCTCTCTACCGATTTTCGAAATTATCTTGAATTCTCAATTAAAGTTAACTTTTTCTTTCATAAGTTCGCAAAAGTAGTTGTGCGGGTTGATGTATGATTTTTTCAATCAACGTTTTTCATTTAGCTGTTCGTTGCACTTCTGAATAATCATAGTATAAACCACAATTGCAATGAATATAACAAAAAAACCGTAACTTGTGAGGAAAAAAATCTTTCTGAGACTTCGACTCTCCATCAAATAGACCGTTATATTCAAAATGAAAGATGGAATGAATTCAGATTTCTTACGCATTCTTTCGTTTGTATGTTGAAATGTTTCAAACAAGACAGATTGGATAACAGTCCCAACATGTTGTTCTTCATCACCATTATATTAGTTCAATGTAACATAAAAATTGACAATTCCATTTATTAAATTGTCAAAAACGATGGTAAAACCTCTCTCACTATAATTGATTGTCACACTAATGCATTGAGATTGTGGAATTCTATGGAATCATAGTCTTCTCATCTTGTTAGAAGTTTAAATGATACATCAGTGGATAGAATACAGTTTTGTCAGCTGATCGATGTTGTCTATAGTAGAATTATTTCAATAGGTATTTGGCAACATTCAACTGTAAAATTAGTATTTTCAAATTGTTTTTTTTAAAACTGCTTTTCTTAACTACTAATTTCGATACTCCATTGATATGAATGACTCAGTTCAAAAGAAATATCGATTTGAATAGCACATCTTCTCATTTGTCCGTGAATGGAAAACTTGTATCAAGTGTAGCAGAAAAGCATTCAACTATTTATATTTCATGATCTTTTTAACTAGCTTCCATTAAAAAAAATCTGTGCTTAGTCTCAAAATATTCTCTATCCATTTTTTCATCAAATTATAATGTTTCTAAACTTCTCGTACAACAGAATGATTGAATTTCTTCAGATTTTACAACTTTGTAATTAGAAAAAGTTCTCCAGGCTTTATTCGCTCGAGGTTTGATTTTCAAACAACTGTTTTATCTGATTTCATTGTTAAAACCTAATAAGTTCGTAGTACAATATCTAGTTAAATTTCTATGATATTTGCAGCTAAGATACTGTTGAATGTATCGTGGAGTTTTTAACACATTTTAATTTATGTCAATCAAGTCTTGTTCTTCAGAGTAATCGTTGATATTTTATTACTTTCAGACTCACTATCGTAAAGAATATTCTTTAGTGTATTTAACTAGATAAGTTGACATTCCACTCTTTTATGAAAAATTATGAACACTGACATTGACTATGGAGACAAATAGAAAGATGCGTTTGTAATAAATAGTAGCATGAAAATGCATGTGACTGTGATGTTTGCTCATTTATTTGAATTTCGTCACATCTACAAACTCTATGAAAAGTTCGATTACCTAAATTATAGTTCGAATTCTGAAACGAAAGATATATTCGAAATCGACTAAAAGAAAACCTCTTTCAAACCCATGTGTCAACATTAGGAAGGGATCCTTGTCAAATAAATCACTTTTGATTAAGATCAGTAACCATCATTTAAAATGTATCGGGGATATTTGGATGATTTTAATTGTTCATCGAATTTTTGGAGGCATCCTATTTTTCTTTCACAAGAAAAATGCAACTGTATCGATTTTTATTTTTTTGGAAAGTGAATCGGCTTCAAGAAGTTTTTCTGCATGACCAACGAATATGAAGGCTAATCGAATTTCCATTTCTCAGTCATTATCAAAAGAAGGTGAGCGATCACTCTTACTTTCTTCTCAAGCGAAAAACGGTATAAGCGTCAAGAATAATTGTGACATTGTTTTGAGTATTCTATGAATCGAAGTAAAACACTGATTGAGATTGATTGCGGTACTTTGAAGATTCGAATTTAAATGAAAACCAGAAACAAGTATTTTTCTACCCGTATCCAATAGTAACTACTTCGCTAGATATTAGTCTTCAATTTATTCAGTAGTTAGAGTTTCTATTGTAGCAAATTTCAAATCCATACCTATAGCGACAAATATCAGCATTCTCTAAAGCAAAGAATTTTAATTTCTTGATAAACTGTCACAATGATTGTCTATTATAAGTAATGATAGACTGTTTGCTAAACACTTTTAGAATATGTTGTTCGAATGAAATAAGATCTCAAAAAAAGACAAATAGTGGAATCCATTTCACCTTCAAAATACAATTTTTTCGATCATTGCTTCATTGTAGTCAGTGACTTGTAATAAATGGCCAGGTCAATACTTATATCTGACTCATATTCCATTGTTTATATTTCATCTATCCAATTAAATTGTTTACACGGCGAATTCAATTCTAAAATTTCGCGAAGAACAATTTAGTACTGCGGAGGTTTAACATCCCCAACTTTGAAAAGTTATATTTTTCTCA